GACAGGAAGTGGATTAAAGCTACAAACTGAGCCGGCTCAGTGGCCAATCTTAGTGCTTCCCTGTCATGCTGAATACCAGATAATTACAGGGAGGTAGAAGTGAGGAGGGGAAATGTAGAAACAAGTAGTAGGTCTTGATTTGATGCTTGGTCTGCCTGATTTCAGTGCAGTGCTGCTCTACATCCATTAGGTCCTCAAATCCCAGCCTGACAACACCTATCTTAGGGTAGCATATGCCCTAAAAAGAATCCCAGCCAAAAAAAAAAAAAAAAAAAGAATCCCAGCTGCTTGTTAGTAGCATCAGTTGGCTACAGCCAACTCTTACTGACCAAAACCATAACAGACTGATAACAGACTGATAAAACATGATTTTATTGTTAAGTAAAACAACAACAAAAAAAATATGGATGAGCCAAGGAATCTGGAAACCAGATTATATATAGTCCTTATTCAAAGTGTAAATTACTTGGGAGATAGTTCTTTTGAAATTTGAAGTGCATAATTTTTTATTTATGCATACAAAAGCTGGGAAACAGGCCAGAGGTGTGGGAAGGTGAAAGGATTCCCCAGAGACAGAGTGGGGAACAGACAGGCAGATTGACTGAAATACACTGCTGAGGGGAGCAGCGGGCAAGTCAGGAGAGGTCTGCTGTGCCATGTGGGTAGCTTCCTGGCCAGCCGGGGATCAAACTTGTGCTGCAGCGGCTTCACAGGCTGCATCTTAATCCCTTGCTCCACCAGAGAGGCCCCATAATTCTTTTGAAAGAATCATTCATAAATTTATGCTTTGAGATTTTTCAGGTTTCAGCATCTTTCCTGACATACTCATTTTGAATTTATAACTTATCAAAAACATCCTTCAATTTTTGTATTCATGAGCCTGGTTTTTAGAGAGAATAATTTTAAAGAAAAAATACAATTTTTAAAAATTCATTTATTTTTAACTGAGGTAACACTGGGGTATCCCCATCAGTTATTACCACCATAGTGCATCCACCACCATACTCCACCCCCACAGGCCAGTAAGCCTCCCTCCCTCCCTGTTCTCTCCCCTTCCCCATCTCCTCCCAGCCTGGTGTCTCATTCTGTAATCAGCTATCAAAGGTTAGTTTTTCAGCTTGTCTTTATCTGACTATTTAATGACTTTATAGTCCACATATTAGCACCACCATCCAGTATTTACCTTTCTCCTTCTGACTTATTTCACTTAGCATTATCCTTTCAAGTTCCATCCATGTTGCTGCAAATGTCATATCTTTTTTAATCACTGAGTAGTATTCCATTGTGTATATAGACCACATCTTCTTGATCCACTCATCTGTTTTGGGGCACTTAGGTTGTTTCCATAGTTCAGTTATAGTAAATAGTGTTGCAATAAACATGGGAGTTCAAGTTTCCTTGCAAATTATTCTTTTTGAACTTTTTGAATTGATGCCTAGGAGTTGTATTACTTAGTCAAATGGCAGATTTTGAGACACTTCTGTACTGCTTTCCATAAGGGCTGGACTAGTGTTCAGTCCCACCAGTAGTGTAGGAGGGTTCTCTCTTCTCCACATCCTCGCCAGCACTTATTTCTGGTCTTTTCCATATGGGTCATTCTTACAGGTTTGAGATGATATCTTATGGTGTTCATGATTTGCATTTCTCTAATAAGAAGTATGAGCATTTTTTCATGTGCCTGTTAGCTGTTCTGATGTCTTGTAAAAAAAAATTTATTTTTATTTATGCATACAAGAACTGAGGTGTAGGCCAGAGGTGTATGAGGTGAGAGGATTCACCAGAGACAGAGTGGGGAGCAGAACAGGCAGATCTACTGAAATATACTGCTGAAGGGAGCAGCGGGCGAGACAGGAGAGATCTGCTGCGCCATGTGGGTTAGCTCTCTGGCTGGGGATCGAACTCAGGCCGCAGTGGCTAGTGATAGCTTGATAGCGCTGAGACTTGACCCCTGTGCCACCAGGGAGGCCCTGATGTCTTTGGAGAGGGGTCTGTTTAGCTTTTTCCCATTTTGAAGATAGGTTATTTGTTTTTATAAAGTTTTGATTTCTTTGTATATCTTTATCAGTCCCTTGTTAGATATATGGTATGTAAACATTTCCTCCCATTCAGAGGGTTTCTTTTCATTTTAGTTATGGCTTCTCTCACTGTACATAGCGTTTTAGTTTGATGTAGTCTCTCTCTTTCTCAACTGTTTGTTTTGTTTTCTTTGCTGTTGGGGATGAATCCCTAAAGGCATCACTGAAGCTTATGTCATGAAATGTTTTGCCTATGTTTTCTTCCATATATTTTATGGTTTCAGGTTTTACATCCAAGTCTTTGATTTTCAGTTGATTTTGGTATATGGTATGAGACTGTGGTTTAGTTTCATTCTTTTGAATGTATCTGTCCAGTTTTCCCAGCCCCATTTATTGAAGAGGCTATCCTTGTTCCAGCACATATTTTTGGCTCCTTTGTCATAGATTAACTGTCCATAAATACACGTGGGTTTATTTCTGCGCTCTCAATTCTATTTCTCTGTATGTCTGTTTTATTTATTGTGGCTTTATGCTACAGCTTGAGGTCTGGAAGTGAGGGGGGATATCTGCATTCTCTTTCTTCTTTGTCAAGATTGCTTTTGCTTTTCGGGGTCTTTTGTGATTCCATATGAATTTCAGTAGTATTTGTTCTGCTTCTGGGAAATGTGCCATTTACCAATATGCCACTGGTATTTTTATTGGGATTGCATTGAATCGGTATATTGCTCTTGATAGGATGGCCATTTTGATAGTGTTGATTTTTCCAGTTCATGAGCTGGGGATATTTTTCTATTTCTTTGTGTCTGTTTCTTTCAACAGTGTCTTAGTTTTCTTTGTATAGATCTTTTACTGCCTTTGTTAGATTTGCTCCTAGGTATTTAACTTTTGTGTGTGTGTGTATGTGTGTGTAATTGTATGTGGGATTACTTCTTTCTCTCCTATCTCATTGCCTGTTTATAGAAAGGCAACTGATTTATGTGTTGATTTTATACTCTGCCACTTTGCTTAAACTAATTGTTTCAATTAGTTTTTCTGTGGAATCTTGAGGGTTCTCTAAGTATATTATCATGTCATCTGCAAATAATGAAAGCTTTATTTTTTTTTCCCAATTTGGATTCCTGTTATATCTTTCTCTTGTCTGATTGCTCTAGCTAGAACTTCAAATACTATGTTGAATAGCAGGGGTGAGAGTGGACATCCTTGCTTTGTACCAGATCTTAGTGGGAAAGGTTTCAGGTTTTCACCATTAAGAATATGGATTTGTTGTTCATAGCTTTTATTATGTTCCATTTATCCAGTTTTTCGAGATTATAATGTTTAGAACTACTTATTTATTCATTTACACTTTACCTATTCCAAAAAGGATTTATGTCAACTTAAAATGTTTAGAAAGGTTAATATTTATATATTTATGTGATCATTTACATTCTGGTAAGTGACTGAAAGATGAGGAAGAAGTTTTTTCATTTATAGATTAAAAGGAAAATACAAGGGTATAAGTAAGGGTAAAGGGAATCTCTTTGGCTTACTTTCTAGGAATATAATTATGCAACAACATTTACTGCTCAAGTGTTTAGCAGTCAGGAAATCCTGGCTCCAGATGCCTAAGGATTGCTATCTGTCTGATCACTTGCAGCAATCTCCAGGCACCAATTTGATATTCCTGTCTCCTAACAGACACCAGACCTTGTGTGATTTCTCTATCAGCACTTCCTTCTGCCCACCAACTACTTGCCATTTTTATATTTGTAGACCTGTAGTTCTCTAAAGCAAATTTAAAAGTCTGTTCCTTCTGCGTGCTCAGGGCTCACTACACATCAAGTCAGGCAAATAGGGATTAAATTTAGAGCACGCTACATCCTACAAAGAACGTAAGTTACGAGGTTAGCCAAAAGCAGTGCTTTGGGATAAACCGCCTAGCTTCAAAGCCCTGATCAGCCACTTACTATCTTTGTGACCTTGGGGAATACTGGTTTTTTTTTTTTTTGTGCCTTTATTTCCTCATCCATAAAATGGATTCCTAAGCATCTTTGTGCAGTTAAAGGAGATAATTCATGCTTGGAACAAGGTATATAGTAACTCAGAGACTGCATCTAATGTCAGTTGATATTATATAATTGATTTTTTAAAACCTATTCATCTATAGTATTGTACTTCAATTTTATAATAAGGAAAATAGTATTAGATCCTAAGGTTTTGTTCAGCTTGCCCTAACAGAGCTAGGATTACAACTATGTCATGTAGAGTCAGAGTTTTGCACATGGATTACAGTTAGAAGGACGGAGTGAATATCTTTCATATCAGAAGTCAGCTCTGAACAATTGAAGGGGTTGTTCAGAGCCCTGTTTTGAGGGTTGTCAAAGCAGCATTAGGCTAAGTAAGGAAATAATGCATGGCTGATTAGCAATATTTGCCATGGGGGGGGTGGGGAAGGTGGTAATTGGTGTAGTGGCTTTTTTTTAACTCAAAGTTTGTTATTAACCCTAGTTGGTTTTTGTTTTGGGGAGTGGGGGGAGGGATCGGGGGTGGTGGTGGTTTCCCTAAATTTATCCTTCTGAACAAATTTTTTAGGTAAATTTTAGCACGAAATTATTAATTTATAATTTCGACCTTCTAAGTTCAGTAGAGAAGGGTTACTATTCCTAAAATGTTGTCTAACTATTTTCTAGTTAGAAGGATTCTTATTTATAACTCTTTATCATATGAGCACAAAGGTTGAAAAAATCTAGTGGTCACCAATTTCTAATTTGAAGGTAATATTTTAAAATACAAGAATGGCACTTTGAGAAGTAATTGAGAAAATTTTATTTTCACATATGAACCCAGTAACAGTTTCTTTGAAAGTCAGAAAAGGTTTTGCATGTGTCATGTACACAAGCTTGTTTTCTAGGAGTTAACATTATGATCTGCCTGCTCTAAATTCTTGGTTTTATTTTAGCCAATGTTATCCCCACCATCTTTTGTCCTGTTGAGGAAAAGCAATACCTTTATATTTTAGATGTTGACATTCCTAAGTGTGTGGACAGCCAGAGTTGACTTCTGGGTTCCCACCTTCTCTGCAGGAAGATACCTCAGGAATACAGCGCTGCCTAAATTCATCCAAGTATTCACGTGGACTTGGTATGGAACGATTTAGGTAGTCCAGGTTCACATTACAAACGTCTTTTGAGAGTATCTGCAAACAAAGCTTCTTAAGTATTTGAACCTGCTTCTCCATCCCCTGCTTGTAAAGAAATAAAAGATGTAGGCAAGGAATACATTACTGTGGTTTTCCCTGGACTATTTGGAGTCACCTAGTCTCCAGTTCTTGCTAAGATACATTCAGGGATAGAGAGAATTTACCACCTCCCTGGAAGTTCTGACAGATTTTTCCTTTTACTTCTGCTTTCGGTTTGAGATAAGCAAGGAAGAAATGTTTCCCATTCTACACTCAGTATTACATTACCTCTGAACTGGGGTATAGGCCAGAGTTTTTTTGGGGGGGATGAAAGGACCCACCAGAGACAGAGCGGGGAACAGAACAGGCAGACTGACCAAAGTACACTGCTGAGGGGAGCAGTGGGCGAGTCAGGAGAGGTCATCTGTGCCATGTGGGTTGCTCCCTGGCCGGCCAGGGGATCGAACTCATGCTGCAGAGGCTGTGGACAGCTTTATAGGTTGCGTCTTACCCCCTTGCGCCACCAGGGAGGCCCATGATTTATTGAGCCTTATTTAAATCAGTTATTTATGTTTAATGTGCCCAGAGCAGTGACCAAGTAAACATTTGGAGAGCTTTGTGAGAACTGTTAGGCTTTTTGGGGATAAAAGTTTTTTCCCAAAAACCTTTTCAGGAATATAACTTCCAAAGGCCCTATGAAGCATGCTCTCTGGAGATAAATATGAAAATTAATGTTCTTCATTGAAAATTTTTTAAATAATATGCTGTCAATCTTTAGGAATATTTGCTGGAAACGGCTGGAGAAAAAGCATTTGCTTATTATGAAGTTTATATTAAAGGTGTTATAAATAGATGTAATCCACCTATTTCATATTTTAAAAAAGTGTTAGGATTATCTTATCAATTGGACAAAACCTTATTGTCCTAATTTCAGATGTTATAATCCAAACAAACCGATGTTTTTAAAAGTAATTCTTAACATTGACCATCTCTCCATAACTCCCTTTCCCCAAGTGGAAAGACTTCATTAATGTTCTTTTCTGAGCAGAATTTTGGTAGCTTTTGCTATTATGAACATTCAGGCTTCTTTCCATACTTAAATATGTTCTGTCTTTTCCTGTGATTTCTCCTCTGCCTTTGTTAGTAAAAACAACTCTGTCTAGGAGTGTTGTTAAACCTGACACCTCATTATCCTTATAAAATCCCCTAGATCCTATTCATTTCATGAATATGCATTTAATGTTTTTGATTGTTTCAGACTGATCCCAATTCTTGGTATTCAGAAGCATTCTCAAGAAAATTTAGTGTTTACACAGTTTATATCCACCCTGCTTGAAGAATTACACTTAAAGAATGATGACCTTGAAAGTTTAACCATCATATTTAAAACCAGAGTGGTAAGTTGCATTATGTTTACTTTGTGTTTTCATTTGTTCCATTTAAAATCTTATTCTGTACTTGAAAAATTTACATCAAAGTACAAGCCTTGAGGTGTCCCCACTTGCTAACAAGAACTCCATCTCCCTTCTCAGCTGCCAATCACTTCCTGTCCACTCTATTACTTAGTGCCCATCCTCGTTGCTATTCCTCATTTATAGGCTACCATAGTTCTGTTTCTTGCTGTTCAGGAAACTTCTATCAGCTTTATTCTCAAACCTAGATCATCACATGTGTCCTTTCTGATAAGTTTCTTCCCAGGAAGTAGCAGTTTACTTCAAACTACTGTAACAATCCAGTGAGAACATCCTCATTCCTGCTTCCCTCTTCAAAGAAATCAGCCCCAAAACAGCCATTACCTTAGGCATCTCGTGTGCAGATTAACTTCAGCCTAGCTTTGGTGACTCTGACCTTGTGCCCAGATGCAGACTCTACTATCAGTTTCCTGCCTCTTTCAGAACTGCCCCTCAGAACGCCCCTCCCTCATCCTGCCTTAATGATAACACTTCACCTTTCTCCACACATTCTCAGGTACTCAAATAGGTATTGATTTAATGTTATTATTCAAGAAATTTATCCTAAACCTCAAATGACACCCTCTCAGGGAGTATTTTCTTTTTATAGTTTAAAAAAAAAAATACAAGCTTGATGTAAAAATTAGAATTTAGAATTACATATATAATAAAAAAGGAAAACTTCCCTTTCACTTCTGCCTCCTTCCCAGAAACAGACTTGTGAAGTTTATCTTATTTAGAATTTTTACAGAAAAAGCATATTTCTAACTATATGAGGATATTATGAGAGGTACTTTGGTAGACAAAGAACAGTGTCCCTTTATTGAACCTACTAGAAAACAGAATATAAGGAACCTGCACTCACTCCCTCTCAGCTTATGCCCATTGACTTTTTCAGAAGACCCTGTTCCACTGAGGACCTTGTAAAACAGGCTTTTTCTTAGGGAGTGAGCTCAGGTTGGCTATGCAAGCATCAATGCAAAGGCCCTTCTAAGAATATAGCAGGGGTGGAGTTTTTGGTTTTATTTGGTTTAGATACAAAGGATTAAATCATTAATCATATGCCTTAGTTCATACCTTATTTCCTTTGATTGAAAAGTTTCTTTTCCTGATAGACTGAGAACAAAGAACCTTAATAGGCACCAATTAAGAATCATTGTTAACTAGGTGTTTAAAATTTGTATGTATCACATATGGTGATAAGTACTTTTATCAATAAGATGTTTTTAGTGGACCTAACAGTTCCCTTGTGATTGTTGGTTAAATTTATTTAAGTAGATAATCCAAGGTAAGTCTTTGCCCAGACTTTGTCATTATTATCAGGGATTCTGACTGAACAAGCCCTAATTACATAGTTTTTGATGAGAAATGAAGATGGTGGATGGATTTTTTGTTTATTCTTGTAAACACTAAATTCATTTGCATTTAAGGATTTTAATGTCTAATAACCTTATCAAGATTAATACTAGCTAATATATTCTTTGAGTTACAAATAACAAAAATCCATCTTAGCCTAACTTTTCTTAAGGAGGTATATTATCTTTCAATTGCTTAAATCCTTCCAAAACAGATTGAAAAAAAAAAAAAAAAAGTTGTTTTAAACAATTTCTCTTAGGGCTTCGGACTCAGTCTCTCGTGAGGTTGCAGTTAATATCTGCCAGGACTCCGGTAATTTCTGAAGGCCCAAATGGAGGAAAAACCCCTTTCAAGTTCATATGGTTAGTGATTCTTGGTAGAATCTAGTTCTCACAGGTTGTTAAAACTCAGGACAATCTCAAGTTTCTCACCGCTATTGTGGCTTCCTCCAGTTTCTGGGCACCTTCATAGTGTACTCATAATTTGTCTTCCCTCAAAGATCCCCAAGATGGAAAGCTACAGTCTTTTTGTAACTAGTCTCAGAAATGACCACTTTTGTGGTATTCCATGACTAGTTCGATCTCATCACTGGATCCATCCTATATCCAAGGTAAAGGATTGTATATGGACATGAATGCCCAAGGATCACTGGAAGCTAGCTTTGTCACTACAGATTGCAAAACTGTCTGGTAGTTCCCCGCTTTGTATGTTGTATATCACACTGTCCTGGTGAGCTTTACAAATAACGTACTCCACTATCCTTGAACTTCACACTGATTGAGGGCACCCCTAAACCAATTTACATGGCTACAGGAATGTTATGAGCTGAGCTAAGCTAATCAAGAAATAGAAGAGGATTTTACTCTGCTAGACCATCGGGGCCTACCCCTGAGTGGACTATGAAGGTGGGTCGATTCCACACAGACCACTATTGCTGCATATTGGGAAGACAATCATGTTCCCAAAACCTGGTCAAATATTCTAGGTGTTGTCTTCAAATTGTCCTTTTTTCCTTCACAGGTATGATCCATGAAGACAGAAGATGAACTTCTGTTCACCATTTCTGAAACCCTAGCCAAGATGATGGTTCAGTGGTATCAGATAACTTTGTCTCAAGGCTTTTTACCTCCTGTTTAGGCCTCTGCCTCACAGTTCCTAACTGTACAGAGTAATATCCCAGATGGAGAAAACCTGTTATTCCAGTAAGGATAACCAAGTCCTTGTATCCCTGGCTATAAGACCTAGTATCTTTAGTTATCTGAAAACAAAAGTTTGTCATAAATTGAAACTATCACCACCTTTGATTCCAGCCATCATCAATTAAAAGAAAATCCCCACCTCAATTAAAACTCTAGATTAAGGAATAGTAAAGAGTTAGATCAATAAATGCAGTCTAAGATAATGTGCTTTGGAGGTCCTTAAAGAAGCTGACTCTACTTTAAATGGTCCTGAGCAATGTGGTTAACCTCATGGATCCACCAGAATTTTCTGAACTCAAGATGTATTTTTAAGTAAAATCTGTAGTGTGTTTAAGAGAAATTCTCTAAAATTTATATTCCTTTTTCAAAATGTGCATCAAGTATGCAAGTTACCTGATCCTTCAGAGCAGTTGAACTCAGGTCTTCAGATCATTTAAGGAGCTTAACTTGCAGAGCCCAGAAACAAAAAATTAGATCTATATGCTTAAGACTGGAGAAAATGATAGATGCGTAAACCTAAATGCACAGAGGCCCGAAAGAAGCCTGGTGGAAGGGGTCAGAAATCTGCATGGTTCCGGCTATAATGTCAACATGAATAAAGCAATTATGCTGTATACTAGCAATGAAAAGCCCAAAAATGAAAAATTGGTGCTCTTGAGGGTGGAATTCTTTAACGAAAGTAAAAAGCCTACAAACAATGAAAACTCTAAAACATTCAGAAAATTAAAAGGTGTAAGCACACATTTCAAGCCAGTCCTCCCCAAATTGATCTATGGATTCAGTGCAGTCCCTATCAAAATTCTAGCAGGCTTTCTGAAAATTTGGGAAAGTTCCTAGAATTCTAGGGAAATGCACAGGATCCAGAACACCAAAACAATTCTGAAAATAAACACCTCCTGATTTCAAAAATTACTAAAAAATTACAGTAATCAAGACAGGTGTGCTGCACCCCTATGTTTATTGCAGCAGTATTTACAATAGGTAAGATGAAAACAACCTAAATGCCCCAAAATAGATGACTGGATCAAGAAAATGTGTATATACACCTAGTGGAGTATTACTCAGCAATCAAAAAGATAAACTCATGCCATTCTCAGCAACATGAATGGAGCTGGAAGGGATTACACTCAGTAAAATAAGACAGAAGGAAAAAGAAACATATCAGATGGTTTCATTTATAGGAGGAATATAGGGGAACTAAATAAGGGATCAGGGAAAAAAAAAACAGGCCACTATAAATCAGAGACATTCTGCAAGGAAGGGGTAGGGAGAGGGATCAAAAACAGGGAGGGAAGAGCACAAGGGTCTATGGTGATGGTAAACTGGTGGTGGGAATTTTATGGGGACTACACCTGAGAGGAGAAAGCATATATTGTGCAAAAATAAAGAATGCTGTAAAATATATATATTAAATAAAGACAGGTGTGGTATTAATATAAAGATCAAATAAAATTGAGCATCAATTCATGTTTATGGTCAGCTGATTTTCAAGAAAGTACCAAGGCAAATCAATGAGAAAGGATGCGCTTGTGTACAAATGGTGCAGTCAAGAGACCAGTTCTCAGCACCCCACAAAGTGACACAATCTCAGTATTCCAAAGCCCAGATTTTGCCACATCAGTCTTACCACTCTTGGGGATCACAGACGCCAACTTCCCTGAGGCTTTAGAGCCTTCCAAAAAGGTTTTCAATCTGGACATGGCCTTTCCATCCTAAAACCTTAAAGAAGTGCACATTTAGGCAGATAGGTGACACACTGCTGATAAAGACAGGTCTAGAGGATTTTGTCAGTTGTCTTATACCTTTTCTGCAAGAGTATTTTTGTCCCAAGTAGCCCAGAACGCTTTCCCTTTCCTTTAAACTTTAAATTTTTTTGGTCTTAATAATCCCTTGGACACTTTTTAGTGCCACCTTCTCTTCCTGTGTATATGCCACACCACCACATCCAGGAGTCGGACTGTCTGCATCCTCATGCCCCTAGCAAGAATAATGCCGAGCACAAATGAGACAGAAAACAGTGGTTACAAACTAGGCAGTCAGAAAAGGCACAGACTTTGCTAGAACAGCGCTGTTAAGGAAAGGGTCTCTGGTGTGGATTAATGCAGCTTTGGGAGCACCTGAGGCATGCGAGGAAACTGAAGATGTCTGCTGCTCCACACGGTGAGCCACCAAGATGCATTCCAGGAAGGGGGCGGATGCCAGCTTGGGATTGGAGAGGTTGTATCAACCTCACAAACACAGGAAGAGGTGGAAAGACAATAATGAGAACCCAGGATTCAACACTTTTCCACACCAGACACCAAAGAAAAGTCAGAAAAAAAAATCACATGAGGAAGAATGGAGACTTCCTGTCTCTTCTTCTGCATGTGTGGATTTAAACACACACACACACAGAAATGGTGCCGGGACACTGGCTGTCAGATGCGGAACAGATGACTTTAGATCCTTACTTTCTACCACATGCAAAAACAATTTCAAAATGTATCAGAGACATCAATGTGAGAGCTATAGAACTTTTGGAAGAAAAGGAGCCATCCTAGCCTTCCTACATGACATTGGTGTAGGAAAAAAATTCTTAGATAAGATGCCAAGAGCATAATCCTTAAGGAAAAATATTAAAACTTCCATCAATGTCAAACTTCTGTACTCCAAAAAAAAAAAAAAAACATTAAAATGATTTGATAGACCACACACTAGGAGAAAATATTTTGAGTTATATTTGATAAAGGAATTATGTCCGGAATATATAATCTTAAAACACAGAAATAAGACCAATAGACATTTCAGCAAAGGCGGTATACAAGTGGCGTCGTATGTGAAAATATGCTCACCATCATTAGTGGAACGCAAGTTAAGGCCAAAATAAGATACCACTTCATACTCACCAGGGTAACCATAATAAAAAGGACAGGGCCTCTCTGGTGGCTCGGGGGTTACGTCTCGCTACCACCACGACTGCCTGAGTTCCATCCCCAGCCAGGGAGCTGCCCCACATGGCGCAGCTGACTTCTGTCTCTCCTGCTGCTCCCTCAGCAGTGTATGTCAGTCTGCCTGTTCTGCGCCCCACTCTGTCTCTGGGGAATCCTCTCACCGTCACCCCATCTCCTGCACCTCTAGCCTGCACACCAGTTCTACACAAAAATGAAAAGCAGAAAGTGTTGGTGAGGATGTGGAGAAACTTACAGTCCTAATGCATTGCCGTGGGAATGAAAAACTGGGCAGTTATTTTAGAAAACACTGACCGTTTCTTCCAAAGTTAAATAGAAGTTTACCATCTCACCCATCCATTCTCAGTATTCCGTCCCAAGAGAAATGCAAGGGTGTTCACTAAGACTTGTGGGCAAATGTATATAACATTCATATTAGTCAGACAGTGGGAACCAGGTGACGGTACAGTAAAAGCATGAACAAGACCAGAGAATGGGGTAGTGCGACCTGTTAAAACATGAACCTCAGAAGCGAAGCCTTGTGCGAAGTCTGACACAGAAAACCCCTTGAGGCACGATCCCAGGTATGTGAAATGTCAGAAAAGGAAAATCTATAGCAGCTGCTAAATTGGTGATGACACAGGGCTAGGGTGGGAACAAGGTAGGCAGTAGACACAAAACCTTCAGGGTGTTACCAAGCTAAACTGATTTTTTGCACAACTTCGTAAATGCTCTGCGCACTTATTTACATATTCACCTGTGTGTGTGTGTGTGTGTGTCTCAATAAAGCTCTTGAAGATCACATAAAGACAAGGCCCCTTGCTCTGACCTACCGGTGACAACTCTGAAGTAAAGAAACTGCCACATCCCCCCGTTCCCGCCTCCTTGTGCTCAGAGACACCAGTTTAGTTCCCGCCCAGGCTCCGCAGGTCTGCGGCCCTCTTGTGAGAAGCCAGTCGCTCAGGACAGAAACACTGGGAGGCCAGATGGACTAAATGCCCGAGTGGACCGCTACCACCCACCTCTGCCGCCAGGTTGCTGCAGGACCAGCACCTTTTTTAGGTCCTGCATCTACTTACTTCCCACATACTCCTGCCAGGTCAGTTTGGGAGGGGCCGGAGCAGAATTCACTGCTGGATCTCGGTTTGTAAATGTCACTTTCCAAAAAAAGGAACCCAGGCTCCTCAGGAAAGTGGCTAGTTCTAAGACTGGGGCAGGGGAAATCCAGGCCACGCCTGGAACATCTTCTAGTACCTGAAGGTAAGCAGGTGTTCAAAAAACAAAGCTGCATGTCAAAGGGACACAGCAGGCAACATGAGGTGCCCGAGAGTCAATGCTGAACAATTTCAGCAACAAAATATCAGCATATCATTCAGTTACAACCCAACGGAATGAATGAGGTAGAAGACAAATCCACCTTAAAGACCACTTCCAAAGAATGTATGTCGGGCCCTGCACCCTACACAGAGAGGGGTCCATAGGCCATTGTCCTGGATTCCCAGGATAGCTTGAAGGATTTTAACTGTTCAGAGGTCTTTATGTTCTGCAGATAAAAGAACGATATCCTCAAATTCCTTACAGCAGGAACCACTGCTACCCGGTGGTACCAACCTTGACTCCCAGGTGGACAGTGCCGCCCCGGCAGCCATGCCTAAGCTTGGTGCTTTACTCCTGAAAGCTTTGCTAGCCAGATCCAAGAAGACTTTGCGGAGCCTCATCTTCCGGTGCTTACCGATGCCGGGCTGACCACCAGCCTCTTAGAGGCATCTTCGGTTGGCCTGCCTGCTGTGCCCCGCGAAACCAGTTTTCCTCTGTGGACACTACCATCTGCAACATGCGCGCTCACTCGGCGGGTCTGACGCAGATACTGTCCCAGGAAGTCACGCACGTTCTTCTGTGGGTAACCATGGGAGGCCATGCCCGAGAGCAGGCTGCTGCCGAAAAGGCTGTGACCAAAGAGAAAGCTGAGGGTGAACGAACTGCTCCTGAGTTTACTGCGACTGAACCCCAAGTCACTGGGATGGCGGGCACGCAGGGGCCCTCTGCCCATTCAGCCGGCCCCTACTGGAGACAGAGCTCGGCCACTGCAGCCTGGACCACGCCACCCACTGCTCAGGCCACTGAATGGGTAGGAACAACCACAAGCTCTCAAGCAGAAAATGGAAATAAGGTTGTTAAAAAATAAACACCCGTTTCGAAATAAGTGAATACTATAATGTAGCTACTGCCACTTCCAGGAGGTGGAGCTCAGTCCCTCCTTTGGGAGCGGCTAAAGTTAGTGACTGGCACATAAGGCTGGCACAGGACAAGGAAACACCCCTCTGCCTCCCCACACACCAAGTGCTGACCACGCACATCCCCGTGATACTGTGTGCATGTCATGTGCCCCCCAGTGTGTGATAAGAGGAATACTACCCGTGTTACTCTCCCCCCAGCCCCATAAACTCAGTCTAATCACAAAAATTTAAAAAAAAAATCAGTTTGGGGAATATTTCTACAGGAAACTTGGCTAGTACCCCTCAATACTACCAAGGTCATAAAAAACAAAATAGTCGGGGCCTCCCCGGTGGCGCAGCGGTTGAGCGCTGGGCTGTGAAGCTGCCCGCAGCCTCTGCAGCGCTGGTTTGATCCCCGGCCGCTGGGTGAGGGTCCCACATGGCGCGCAGACCCCGCCTGCTGCTCCCTCAGCAGTGTATTTCTTTGTCATCCTGCCTGTTCTGTTCCCCGCTCTGGTGAATTCTCTCACCCTCCAGCGCTTCTGACTGTACCCGGTGCTTGTATAAATAAATAAATAAATCTTTAAAAAAAAAAATAGTTGTCACAGACCAGCAGAAACATAGAAACTGTGGTATCCTGGTCAACAGAAGATAGAGGCCATTAATGGAAAAACTGGTACTATCTAAGCCAAGCCTGTAATTTAATGTCTTGTACTTTTAACAGACATGGAAATGCAAAATGTAAATGAGGGAAATTGGGTGAGGCATAGAGGAACTCTACTATCTGCAACTTTCCATAAATCTAAAATTTCAAATTAAAAGGTTATTTTAAAAAGTACTGGCTGGACAGATGGAGGGATAAAAAGAGAAGCCAGTCATTGGCCTCCGAATCTGCAGCCTTGCCTGGGAGGGAGGCATGACTAAGGTAATGCCCTGAAAAAGAACACCCATCCAGGGTCTCCCTGGTGGTGAAAGGGGGTAAGACACAGCACTATGAAGCTGTCCGCAGCCACTGCAGCACGAATTCGACCCCCAGGTAGGGAGGGGACCCCCACAGCACAGCAGACCTCTCCTGGCTTCCCTGCTGCTCCCCTCAGCAGTGTATTTCAATCTGCCTGTTCTGTTCCTCCCTCTGTCTCTGGTGAATCCTCTCTCCCCTCAGATCTCTGGCCTGTACCCCAGCTCTTGTATGTATAAATAAATAAATCTTAAAAAAAAAAATCCATCCAGGTTTGCCTGGGACAGTCCCTAGTGTGGCCATATTATGGTCCCATCACCTAGAAAAAGCGCGGGTCAGACGTGGGAGGACACACTTGATGGAATGGAGAGAATGGCGGGTTAGGAGATGGAGATAAAAGCTTGGCAGGACAGGAAGGGGGAGGTATAGCCCAAGTAGGGGCAGCCTTAAGAGGAAAGGCCCAGAAGCAAATAAGACACAGCATGTGTCCTTTTTAAGACACAGAAATCTCAAGTTGGAGAAAACTTGTAGATGACAGCAAGTGTAATTAGGAAGATGGGGTCAGCCAGCTTTTGAGCAGACAGAATGAACTAGAACTAATTGGGGCAATAATGTACTTTCAAGTTGATATGAGGAGAAGTGTCTACATATGCTGCCTGAAAAGCCTTCAAAGTTAATTTTCTTCAGTAAGATCCTCTTCCCCCCTTACACGTCCATTTTTGCCCAAACTTTTACTAGTCACTTGATATACACTAAACTCCAAGTCACCCGTGCTACCTCTCCAAGGCATTAAGAGATTCTTCTTAACACTGATACTGGCATTTATTGGAACAGCTGCCTCCTTAGGCCTTGGGACTCTGACCCAACCTGTGGTTCAGTCATGTGTTCTGCCTACACTGCCTCCTGACAGGAACACTTTTAAAAAAAATTTTTTTTTAATTTATGCATACAAGAGCTGGGGTATGGGCCAGAGGTGTGGGGCAGGGGGTTAGAGGATTCACCAGCGACAGAGTGGGGAGCAGAACAGGCTGATTGACTGAAATACACTGCTGAGGGGAGCAGCGGGCGAGTCAGGAGAGGTCTGCTGCGCCATGTGGGTAGCTCCCTGGCTGGGGATCGAACTTGTGCCGCAGTGGCTGGCTGTAGCTTGATAGTGCTGAGACTTTAACCCCTGCGCCACCAGGGAGGCCCCAGGAACAGCACTTTCTGACCCCTTTGTGGCATTCTTCATTATTGCAGTAAAGTGTCACCTTCAATAAAGCATAACCAAGCTTTTCTTGTGAACTCTGAATTTCAAAGAATGAAAGAGATATTTTTACAAAAACCCTGTTGCTCTTTCAGGGAAGACTTGAAATCTAAATAGCATTTACTTTGAAAAGTAAACAGTATGATTCAGTTTCATTTTCTATTTAAATACTTTGGTATCTACGAATTCATATGCTGTTATAGTCATAGAATGATGACATTTAAAAAAAGTCTTCCCCTTTAAGTAATTCCACTTCTATGAGATTCTTAAAAACCCCACTAGGCTTACTAGACTAGCCTCTTTTAGGCACTATTAGCATCTTCTGCTTAGATTCATGGCTGACAACCAGAGGATCTACTCTTTAAGGAACAGGATCAGTTCTCTAAAGACTTACTAGACCCAAGGAAAGTGATACCATTCTGGTGTTTGAAAATTTTAATAGCCTCGTGTTATAAGCACTGGGCGAAAAAACAAAAGCCAACCAGAACCGATGTCTAGAAGCTCACGCTGCTGCCCTGTGTCACTGCTGATGACACCCTGGTAAAATCTGTCGTTCCTCAATGAAGACTCTTTTCTTTGGGAATGCACGTGTCCTTTTCCAAATTAAACTAGCGAAACAGGAACCTTTACAAACTCTCAGCCATCCAGCTCTCTCCATTTTCAAACCTTTGCATGTCCTTCCCTCAGCAAAAACACTGTTTTGGGAAATGAATTATCAATGAAGAAACCGGGAGGCAGAACTGGATCAAAAAGCCTTCAGATGAAAGCAGCGACGCCAAGCCCTTCCCTCTAAAGTGGGCCCCACCTCTGGGGCCCATGGAGAGAAACCCCTTCCAAGGTGCTAGTTTTCATTTTGCTTCCCAGCACCTCTACAGTCATAACCAAAGCAAAGGAGAATATTCTTCAGAAGAAAGCCAGCCACCTTGCAACATCTTCAGGAAATTCTGCACTCCCCTAGGGCTTGCAAAACTCCCTGTGTTTGCAGACCAAAGGCAAGATCTCAGTACCCAGCTGTACTTTGCATAATTAAATAAAGTGGAAGCTGGTTCTTTTCTGAGGGACTCTTGACCCCACCTAGCTCACAGGGCCTGTGACAGAAAGAAGACAGCAGTAAGACAGTGTTGCCACAGTGAAAGCATTCACCATGTAGATGAGCAGGAAAAGCCAAGCCCCTGAAAGCCCTGCTAGCTCCCCACCTGCTGGGGTCACACAGCCAGGACAGTGTCCATCGAAGGTACTGTCTGTAATGTTACTCTTTTGAAGTTGGCACACACAATTTAATACAATTTCATGTTCTAATGTGTAAGACTTCAGAGAAACAATTCACTAAGACCTATTTATCTTTTCATTTTTTTAAATTTATTTATGCATACAAAAACTGGGGTGCAGGCATAGCTGCAGGGGGTGAGAGGGCTCACCAGAGACAGAATGGGGAGCAGAACAGGCAGATTTACTGAAATACATGGTTGAGGGTCACAGCAGGCAAGTCAGGAGAGGTCTGCTGCGCCATGTGGGTAGCTCCCTGGCCAGGATTGAACTCGAACTCATGCTGCAGTGGCTGCGGATAGCTTCATAGTGCTGAAACTTAACCCCTGGCCCCATCAGGGAGGCCCCTATCTTTTCATTCTTGATGTAGGAAAACATAGCCTGTCATTTGTTAATTCGCTCCCTCCCAGATCCTTAGCTCTTTCTTGTCTTTCATATCCTATTTACATCTTACCCATCTTTGGGAGAAAAACTAATAGTTTTAGAGCCACATTTAAGCTCGGTCACATGGGATAGAGAGAGTCCCCCTTCCTCCTCAAGCAGAGCTGCTTTACTCTCTCCTGCACAGAGCATCCCGATAAGTTTCTTTGTACAAAGAATCCTGCTACTAGGGGAAAGTACTCGAAAGCCACTGAGCTCATCTAAACCCTTCACTTTAAACAGTGCATCCTAAAGCCCGGAGAGGTTTATCCAGCACCAGGGCAGCCGGCCCCAGCAGAGCTCGGGAGGAGGGAGCTGGAAATGCACCTCTTTCAATCAAAGTCCACCTGGGACTAGCACAACGCCCTGTCTGGGTGAGCTAAACTGAGATTCCTCCACCTCCACCCCCACTTCCGCTGCAGAACCAGGGTCATCACCTCAGGGAGAGTTGAACTTGTGGACGGGGTTCTGGTTTGAGTCAGAGTACAATTTGGTTTTAAGGCCCAGAAATGTTTTGTTTGAAGCCTCTGTTAGAAGTTGAGAGCCCCTGGGGCCACCGAGCAACCCTGTGCTTCTCAGAGTTTGGTCACTTTAGCAGTTTCTCAGGAAAAGGCTTGAGGACAGAGAATATTTGCTAAGTGGGAGAGGAAGCTATTACGGAAGACGTTTCTCACACGCCTCTGTAAAGGTTCAGTTCAATAAAACCAGGGAACACACATATCACAGCGTTGTTTTCTTTGCTATTAAAGCCTTGGATTTTTTGTGGACTGTGATAGACACACCAAGAAAACCAGCTGCTCACGCAGGCCACAGAAGAAAAGATGATCTCTAGAAGTAGGT